CATGACTACACATGTATAAGCTATATCCAATTGCTTGCTTTCTCAATGAGGTGGGGGGGGAGGGAGGAAGGTAGAAAATTTGGAACTCAAAGTTTTAAAAACAAATGTTAAAAATGGTGTTTACATGTAATTGTGGAAAAATAAAATACTAAATAAATTCCAAAAAAAGAAAAAATTGGAATCTAACAGTCCTAAAGAATGACTGGGCTTAAGCCCTATAGGAGTTTATTAATACTTGTTTTTCCCCCCTGCCCCTACCAAGCAGAACTTTAAACCTTCTTCCAAGTGATGGATCTCCAAACACTTGAGATGATGTTACCATGGCCTACCCTAAATCTCTTATCCATGTTAAACATTCATAGTTGCAGCAATTGATCCATCATATGGAATAAAATTGAGACCCTTCACCCCTCTGATGGCCCTAATCTGGGCACACTCATATTTTTCAAAGTTCTTTAAATAATATAGTGCTCAGCTGTGCATACAGTGCCCTCGAGGTGTTCTAACTAGGGCAGTGGAGGGTGAGACTATCACATCCTCAGTTCCAGAAAACATAACTCATTTAACATGGCCTAAGACTTCATTTTTTTTTTTTTGGCTGCTGTATCACAGACTTATATTGACTTTACAATTCACTAAGACTTGAGTTTCTTTAATAAGTTTTACTGATGCAATTTAATTTTAAGTTATTTTTCTTAAACTCTCTGATAGGACTTTCTCTAACAGAAAGCATTTAAGCAAAACCAACAGAAACACAAATGATGGCATATATATAACAGGTCCAGAACCCCCTTTATTCATTATCTATTGTTCAGAAGATGATTGATTGATCATGGCTAAAATTACCTTGCATTGATTTTACATATTATTGTTATTATTAAAAGAATTTTATTGAGGTGATTTTTTACATTACGTTTACAGGTTACCTCCATTCTGTAAAAATTTTCTTATACAAAGCTAAACATTTAAGTATAAACAACAGTAACTTCAACTGAAAATACATGCAACATTCCACATCCGTAGCAACACCCAAAACTTTATATTTTAAATTTAAAATATATATAGATACATATATATATTATCTCCTTCCTCTCCTCCACCACATTAAAAAATATATTCTGTTACAAATATGCATAGCCAAGCAAAATACATTCCTTTCCTGGCTACATAAAAACCATGCCTCACTCTACACTCTAACTCTATTACCTTTGTCAGAAAGCAGATAGCATGTTACACCATCGATCCTCTGAAATCACGGATGGCCCCTTTACTGATCACAATTCTTACAGCTTTCAAAGTTGTTTGACTTTACAATGTTGTTATTATATAAACTGGTCTCTCAGTACTGTTCTTCTTTAGCACTTTTAGTCTTCAAAATTGCTTTTATAACACTGACATGAGTAAACATTTTTCTTCTTGTTCTGCTTAGATAAGCTTTTTCTTGTCTGCTTGAAATCATCCCTTCTTCTGTTTCTTACAGCATGGTAGTACTCCATCACATTCATATACCATGCCTTCAGCCACTCCTCAGTGGAGGAGTAAGCCTTTCATTTTCAGGGTTTTTGCTACTGCAAAAAGAGCTGCTATAAATGTTGTACATATAGGACCTTTTCCTCTTCCTTTGATTTCTTTTGGATATATGCCTAGCAGTGGGATAGCTGGATCAAAGGGCACATAGCCTTTAGTCACTTTTTTAGTATCAATTCAAATTGTTTTCTAGAATGGTTGTACTTATTCACAGTCCGTCAGCAATACACCAACATGCCTCTTTTGCTACAGCCCTTTTGACATTTATCATTTTCCTTTTTTGTCATCTGATGTGTGAGGTAGAATCTCAGAATTGCTTTAATATGCATTTCTCTAATTAGTAGTGATTTGGAAGATTGTTTTAGCTAGCTAGGTGACATATCAGAATGTGGGACTTCGAGTTGAGAAAACCAGAGCTCAAATTCTGCCTGAGATACTTCCTAGCTATGGTCCCCTGGTCAAGTCACTTAACCTGTCTGCATCAGTTTCCCTGGCTGTGAAAGGGGATAATAATCATATCTACTGTATAGGGTTGTGAGGATCAATGTTAACATACGTAAGGTGCTTTATGAAGCTTAAGGTGCTATGTAAGAGATAGCTATGAAATTATTATTATACGGCTATAGGTAGCCTAGATTTTTTTCTTGAGAACTGCCTGCTCATATCCTCAGACCATCTATCAATTAGGGAATGGCTCCTCTTCTTATAAACTTGAATCTGTTCTTTATCTATCTTGGAAATGAGACCTTTATCAGAGAAACTTGCTGTAATGATTTTTCCTTCATTGTTTCCTTTCTAACCTTAGCTTTATTAGAACTGTTAGTGCAAAAGTTTTTTTTAATGTTACATAATCAAAATTATACATTTTAGTAGCTTCTGTGATCCTCTCTATCCCTTGTTTAGTCAAGAACCTGTCTTCTATCCACGTATTTGATAGGTAATTTTCCCCATCTTTCCTTACCTTAATATTATAATATTCTATAGTTTAATTTTAGAAAAAAAGCTATAAAATTAATTAATCATATTAATAACAAAACTAAAAAGTATAGTATTGTATCAACAGATGAAGAAAAAGCTTTTGACAAAATACAAATAACCATCTCTTAGAAATATAACAGAATTGAGGAATAAAAGTATCTTTTCATAAAATGGTAAACAGTATAGATCTAAATCCAAGAACTACTACTACAGGTAAAGAATGTAAACTAGAATTCTTTCCAACAAAATCTGGAGTAAAACAAGAATTTCCATCGTCTCCACTTCTATCTGACATAGTAATAGAAATGCAGTAAGACAAGTATAGGTAAAAAAGGACATTATCACACTGTAGGTAATATGACAGTATACTGAAAGAACCCTAAAGAATCAAATAAAAATTAAGTTACACAAGAACTTCAGCAAATTTTCAGGATGTAAGACAAATCCACACAACTCATCAGCATTTCTATGTAATACCAGTAAAACTCAGCAGGACAGAAATTCCATTTCAATTAACAACAGGATGTAAAATATATTTGGGAGTCTATCTCCAAAGACACACACCACAAATATGGAAACATAACTATGAATAACTGTTTACAGAAATAAAGACAGACCTAAATAATTAGAAAAACATTAATTGCTCATGAGTAAAATGTCAATATAGTAAAAATGACATTACCTAAATCAGTTTACTTATTTAATGTCACTACAATCAAAATACCAAAGGTTCTTTAAAAATAATAATAATAAAATTCATGTGGAGGCAAAAAAAAATGCCAAGGATCTCATGGGAAATAATGAAAAGAAGTAGAAATATAGAGGGCACAGCACTGCCAGATCTAAAACTAAACTATAGAACAGAAATTCTCAAAATAGTTTTGTACTGGCCAAAGATAAATCAATCAGGGGAACAAATCTGGCAACACACTAAGGAAAACAGATCTAGTAGCCTAGTAGTTGATATACACAAAGATTCCAACTATTGGGATAAGGACTCACTACCCTGGACAACTGGCTGGAAGAAGTTAGCTTTAGACCAACAACTGACCCTTTATGCCAAACTAAGCTCCAAATGGATGCAGGACCAAGGTATAAAATGTCACGTCATAAAGACATCAGAGAAACCAAAAAACCTTAGCACAATGCCTGGAATATGGTAACTGAATAACTGCTTAATTGTTGATTGCAACTAGTATCATTGCCTGCTTTTTAGCATTGCTTTCATTCACATTATTTTAGTCGATGTGCAGACTGTTCTCCTAGATCTGCTTTCTTCAATTTATGTCATTTAATATACATCTTTCTTGGCTTTTCTAAATTCCCCATATGTGTCATTTCTTGGGGTACAATAACCTATAATCACATGAATAGCCCCAAATTTGTTCAACCATTCCCCAGGTAATGCGCACCTGCTGTGCTTGACATATTAGCTATCACAAAAATGAGCATTTTGGTTTAGATTAGGGACCTTTCCTAATGTCTTTGTGAACAGGAGTGGGATTGCAACAGGTCAGACATATAAACAGGTCAGTGACGTTGTTTTGTTTTGTTTTGCAAATTTCACATTATTTCCCCAAATGGTTGGACCAATTCACAGTTCTCCCAACAATACCCGAATTCTACAGTTCCTCCAACACTAGATCTGCTATTATGTTTGCCATCTTGAAACCAGGTTTTTTAGAAATCATTTTCTACCTATTCTTCCCCATGTTGTACTTGGGACTTAACTAGTAGAACCCAAATATAACAGCATCACTATCATCCTTTTAATTTTATGTTTAGTTCGATGTTCTAGTCCACCAAGGTTCTTTCATATCTTAAATATCAGCCAGTATGTTAATTATATTTAGCAGCCCTGTGCCACCTACAAATCTGACAAGCATATTATCCATGCCTTTATATGAGTCATTTATAAAAATGGTAAAACATCAGAGGTCCAAGAACTGATCTCTAAGGCACTTATGCAGAGGCCACCTATCGAACTGCCACTAAACCAGTACCACACGTTCTTTGAGCACAGCCATTCAACTGGTTTTAAACCTAATTACGCTGGATGCTAGCCTACCTCTCTTTATCTTTGCCAGAATGTAGGCATGACATTTATTAAGCTGTGTGATCTGGATGAAGGATTTGCCTTCTACATTATGTTGAAGCTTTAAAAAATATTGCTGTCACTTCCCATTGGTCCACCTCTTCCCTACAGAGCTCTCCTATGTAACAAATAAGCATAGTCAAGCCAAAGAAATGCTTTGGTCATAACAGAAAGGGCGTGTCTGTTCCACACCAGCATTCTCCTGAGGTACCTCCTTGTGCTTCACCACTATTCACAGATGGGATTCCCAATGGCTATACATTCATATAGTTTCTCTCTGGCATTAAATATGATATTTAGCAAGACTTATTTCTGGAAAAAAGCCTTAACTCAATTATTATATTCAAATAGGTTCTCTCTACTATGAACTTTCTGACGTTCAGTAATTCTGAGTCTCTTGCTGAGGCTTTTCATATTCTGGCCTATGCGAATTCTCTAATGTCAAATATGCTGTGTGCTCCTGGAAAACGAATTCATCAACATTCATTACATTAACCAGTTTTCTCCCCTGCATGAATTTGTCGATGCTGATTAAGGGCTGTTCTCCAGAAGAAGGCCTTTCCACATTCATTGCATTCATAAGGTTTCTTTCCTGTATGAATATTCTGATGTTGAGTAAGGTGTGAGTTATAGCGAAAGGTCTTCCCACACTCATTGCATTTGTAAGGTTTCTCACCAGTATGAATCCTATTATGTAAAGTAAGATCTGCTTTCTGACAGAAGGCCTTTCCACATTCTAAACATTTATATGGCTTCTCTCCAGTGTGAAATCGCTGATGTCTAATAAGTTTTGCCCTCTGACTGAAAGCCTTCCCACATTCATTGCATTCAAAAGGTTTCTCTCCAGTATGGGTTCTCCGATGTTGCACAAGCACTGTGCTCCAGTGAAAGGCCTTTCCACAGTCGCTGCATACATAAGGTTTCTCTCCAGTATGAATTCTATTATGTTGAGTAAGAGCTGCCTTCTGACAAAAGGCCTTCCCACATTCACCACATACGTAAGGTTTCTCTCCAGTATGAGTTCTATTATGTTGAGTAAGATCTGCCCTCTGACAGAAAGCCTTCCCACATTCATTGCACTGATAAGGTTTTTCTCCAGTATGAGTTTTCTGGTGCTGATTAAGATTAGTGCTCCGGATGAAGGCTTTCCCACATTCACTACATACATAAGGTTTCTCTCCAGTATGAATTCTCTGATGTTGAATAAGTTTTGCCTTCTGACCAAAAGTCTTCCCACATTCACTGCATTCATAAGGTTTTTCTCCGGTATGTGTTCTATAGTGTTGACTAAGTTCAGTGGCCCGGAGGAAGGCCTTCCCACACTCATTACATACATACGGTTTCTCTCCAGTATGAATTCTCAAGTGTCTTCTAAGGTATGAATTCTGGCGGAAGGCCTTCCCACATTTATTGCATTCGTAAGGTTTCTCTCCAGTATGAATTCTATGATGATGAGTAAGATGTGCCTTCTGGCCAAATGCCTTTCCACATTCACTACATTCATATGGTTTTTCTCCGGTATGGGTTCTCTGGTGCTGACTAAGATTAGTACTCCTGAGAAAGGCCTTCCCACATTCACTACATACGTAAGGTTTCTCTCTAGTATGGATTCTCTGATGATCAGTAAGGTGTGATTTACATCGGAAGGTCTTCCCACATTCATTGCATTCATAAGGTTTTTCTCCTGTATGTGTTCTCTGGTGTTGGGTAAGTTCAGGGGACCGGAGGAAGGCCTTCCCACATTCATGACATGCATAAGGTTTCTCTCCAGTATGAATTCTCTGATGCCTTCGAAGGTAGGAATTCTGATAGAAGGTCTTACCACATTCATTGCATTCATAAGGTTTTTCTCCTGTATGTGTTCTCTGGTGTTGGGTAAGTTCAGTGGTCCGTAGGAAGGCCTTCCCACACTCATTACATGCATGTTTTTCTCCAGTATGAATTCTTTGATGTCTTCGAAGGTATGAATTCTGATGGAACGCTTTCCCACATTCATTACATACATAAGGTTTCTCTCTAGCATGGCTTCTCTGATGATCAGTAAGATATGATTTACAGCGGAAGGTCTTCCCACATTCATTGCAGTCATAAAGTTTTTCTCCAGTATGTGTTCTCTGGTGTTGAGTAAGTTCAGTGGGGCAGAGAAAGGTTTTTTCACATTTATGACACTGATAATGTTCTTCTCCAGTATGAATTATCTGATGTTTTTTAAGGTATGAATTCTGGTGGAAGGCCTTCCCACATTCATTACATTTATATGGTTTTTCTCCAGTGTGTCCTCTCTGGTGTTGAACGAATTCAGTGGCCTGAAGGAAGGCCTCCCCACGTGCACTGCATTTATAAGGTTTCTCTCCATTATGAATTTTTTGATGTTTCCTAAGATATGCACTCTGCTGGAAGGACATTACATATTCATTGCAGTCATAAATCTTTTCTCCTCTGTGAATTCTCTGGAGCAGAGTAAGTCCAGTGTTCTGGAGGAAAGACTTCCCACATTCATTACATTCATGTTCATTTCCATTATGAATTCTATGTTTTTCAATAAGGTCAAAATTATTACTAAAGGATTTCTGACATTTATCATCATTGGAAAACATCTTTAAACAGATTCTTTTATAATGTTTCATGTCTGAATGCTTTCTGTGGTCCTTTCTCCATCTATCATATTTATGAAGAAGACTCTTTATTACCAATAATCTCTTTTGTGGAGAAAAAGATGGCTCTAGATTAGATCTTCTGCCATTTTTATTATATTCAGGGCCACTCACTTCACTTTGGGATTTCCCCTTGGTGATTTTTAGTTGTCTAAAATGTTGATTCTCATTGCTCTGCTCGTCCTTTAACTTGGCATAACATTCCCAGACACCTCCCAATGTCAAAATCCAAGAAGAATCTCTGGAGAGTACTTTTTTGGATGATTCTTCCATAGAAATGTCCAGCTCTAGAGTTGTTTCCTTGATCTTAGGCTTAGTGTCCAAATCTGAAAGAAATGAAAATGGTAAATAATCCCCTTTGCCTATATGAACCTGTTCCTTTTTCTTTCCGCTTAGTTTCCCTAATTTTCTTGATGTTGTTATTAACAAAGTTATAGTCAATAGCTATTTTTTTCACTGTGTTTAACTTACTCTGGATCAATTTCTTATAAGGTTTTATATATTACTTTGTATCCTTCATACCTGTCATATCATGTAACAAGATAATATTCAATTACATTCAAACACTGCAGTTTGTTCAGAAAACTCCCACTGTAACTTGCCTAGAAGAACAATATAGCCAGGCATGAAAGGAAGTCTTGTGAATGTCATACTTACGGCAAGGTTCTAATAAAGTGACAACGGGGTCAAAAAAAACAAAAAAAACCAAAGGATTGTAAAGCTTTTTTTCCAAAAACACTGAATCAAAAGACAGCTATACCAAGAGTGTAAAACATTCTTGGTTTAAAACATTTAAACTGATCATTTATAATTAACTATATATGCCATTGTAATGGATATAAGGTAGCATATCTTAAGAGTTGTTTTAATTTGCATTTCCCTGATTATGAAACAATTAATATTTTCTCCATTCTGGTATCAATGTGTTTTCTATTATATTCTTTCTCTCAAGAACTGATTGTTCATGTATTTAAACCACTTATCTATTGGTGAGTGGACTGTAGTCTTATAAATATGTGTCCACTTATAGACTATTAGTCTAGAGTTTTGGAAGTCTATTCAAATGGGCTTTATATTGAAAAGTAAAGATCCAGCTAGATGTCATAGAAAGAAGGGTCTGACAGTAGCCCATTCAGTGGCCCTGAATATAATAAAAATGGCAGAAGATCTAATCTAGAGCCATCTTTTTCTCCACAAAAGAGATTATTGGTAATAAAGAGTCTTCTTCATAAATATGATAGATGGAGAAAGGACCACAGAAAGCATTCAGACATGAAACATTATAAAAGAATCTGTTTAAAGATGTTTTCCAATGATGATAAATGTCAGAAAGAAGGTTTCTGACAGTAGTAGAAACACTACTTCAAACTCAAGACTGCAAACAGAGGCATAATTCTCAAACGGAACAGAAGTAGCCTAAGGACTCCAGGAGTCAGATTTGTCTTCTGAGCTCTAAAGACAAAAGAGGAAATGGACAGCACCTTTATCCCTTCCTGCTCTAGAAGGAGCAGAGAATCTGGAATACAATATTTCAAAAGGCAAAAAATAGAGGTTACAAACAGAAATAAATGACCCAGAAAAAATGATGAAAAGAACAGAACAGATTAAAAAAAAAAACCAACAAACCTCTGAAGCAGAAAAACAGGAATCGAGAGAAACATAAAAAGTAAATGACAGTGAACAGCCATAAGGTCCCACGCCAGGATAAACTATCCACAGTCTAACACGGGGGGTACATGCCTTCCCCTCTGTCCCCTCCCATCATCAGGAGTCAATTGTGCTGTTCATTTATCTCGGTTGTGTCTGACTCTGTGAGCTCATTTGGGGTTTTCTTGGCAATGTTACCGAAATGGTTCACCATTTCCTTCTCCAGCTCGTTTTCCAGATGAAGATCTGAAGCAAACAGGGCTAAGTGACTCAGCCAGGATCACCCAGCTAGTGTCTGAGGCCACGTGTGAACTCAGGAAGATGAGTCTTCCTGACTCCAAGCCCTGTGCTCTAGCCACTAAAATGCCTGCCTGCTCCCATTAGGAGTATGAAGGGAGCACAACGAGACAGAGGGTCTTAGATATAATAGGGAAAAGGAGAACAAAAAGAGAAGGGAAGTAAATATACCACAGGGCAAAAGGGAGAAGAAGGAAAGGGAAAACTGTCTCACATAATGCGGGTGCAAACGTAGAACACTATAAAAACTAAGAGGAAAGAGTGAGTAAAACCAGAGCCCCCTCTTAACTGAACCAGTCAAAAAAGAGAAGAATAAACATACATACACATACAGAGTTGGGAACAGACATACATGTCACTCAACAGGGAAACAAGACAACAGTACCGTGAAGACAACTCTAAAAGATTTAGGAACTCTGATTAATGTAATGAACGACCACAGCACCAGGAAGTTCATGGAAAAACATGCTACTGTCCTCTTGTTAGAGAGGCGAGGAGACACAAATGTGCTTGGTTATGGTCGAAGAGAAAATTGGGTTTGCTTGACAATAACCAGGAGTTTTGTTGTTTTAATCTTTCAGAATTGGGGGTTGTGAGGAGAAAAGAGCAGATTTGTACTGATTAAAAAAATTTCAAAAATTTTTCAATCGCTTAACAGCTCTCCAAGAGTATAAAAGTATTCTTGCTTTCCACCACTGATATCAACTAACCTTAACTGACTATACATATGAATTTAATCTCTGTAAAGTGGTACATCTCAGAGTTGCTTTAATTTGCATTTCCCTGACATAAATAATTCTCCATCCACACTCCTGATGAATGTTTCTCAGAGCTATGAATTACAGTAACTCAACAAGTTAGGTTCTCTTCACTTACCTGAACAGCTGCTTCTTGGAAATAGAACTTCAAGTATCCAAGGTGCCTCCTCTTGCTCCGACTGAGAGATCACATCTGGCTTGGCAACCACAAAGCCTGGTCAATGGAAAATCCAAAGTGGTAGGGACCAAGAGACACCCCAGAATTCAATCCTAGCCCCCCACCCCTTCCAAGAACAGTGGGAATGCTAGGGCAGTCTAGAGGGCAGTACAAGAGACAACAAGGATGTTCTGGATGGTGTTCCTAAAACATATGGGGGAATGGGGCACAGTGTAGATTTGGGCTCAGCAAGAAAACTGGTTCATTTGACCCACTTCTTGCTAAGATGATTTGGAACTTTCCTGTCTTCAAAGACCTGCACTGGGAATCGAGGGGAAAACTTCCTGACTGAGAGTACAGAGAGCTGGAGAAGTACAACACACTGAAATGGTCAGTTCCCAGTTTTACAAAGCCAGAAACATACTGCGGACAAAGACACAGTGAGCATCCTTCCTCCGGGCCACAAGCATTCTTCAGCCATCTCTGTTTCCTAAAGCCAAGGAATCACGGCTAAAGAGTAGACACATCTCCCAGCATACACTGAGAGAGGAAACAATTACCCTTTCATGCAACGACTCTGAGTCCCAGAGGAGCCATCCTTACCCAGGCTGACCAGGTTCCTGTAGTTCTCCAGCATCACGTCCCAGTAAAGCTCCTTCTGGGAGGTGTCCAGGTAGCCCCACTCCTCCCAGGTGAAGTCCACGGCCACATCCTCGAAGGTCACTGATTCCTGAAACAGTCAACCATTCATTCAATAAACATAAGAGCTTTCCCGGCGACCATCCCTCAGGTGGACCTTAGGAGAGGGGTGAAATGTGCAGGAATCATCAAGTACTGAGTCTCACTGCTCCGCTCTCTGAGGGCTCAAAGCCAAACGCTCATTTCATCCCTCCTAAGAGACAGGCCAAAAAATCACCGTAACATCCCCTACGTAAACAGTAAACAGCATTTTTTGGTCTGCCAAACACTTTCCTCACAAACACCTGTAAGGCAGGTGAGGCAGGTATTCCTTACCCCACTCTGCAGATAAGCCCACTAAGTTTAGTAAAGACTCAGTGGCACATTCACAGTCACACAGACATTAAGTGTCGAAGCTGTGACTCATACCCAGGCCTCACAACATCACACCACTGGAGTCAGAAGAACCTTCGTAGCCTGCTAGGCCGACCCAGACCTTCAGATGACATTATAACAGACCTCCGCCCTAAGACTCCCAGACTCCACCTTGAACCCTGTCAGACACACCCCTACTCAGACAAATTCTCACCGACCACGCCTCCATCATCCTGTCCCTGGGAATATTCATCTGCCAAGACATTCAAGCACCCTCGCAAGTCCTGTCTCTATCACTCAATGCTGCTAGGATCCCAGGAATTTTCCTTTTCCTCTACCACCTGGAAAAGCGATGTAATGCCATCCTCTTCCCTGCAAGATTTTGTGAAGAGCGAGCTTTCTAACACTGAGAACGTGACATGCAGCCTGGTTCCTGGAGACAGAAATCACTTTCATAACAGCCCACCCTGCACAGAGCTTGATGAAGAGATCGCAGGAGCCTAGAACGTCATGTTCCAGGGACCCAAGGAAGGTCAGAAGAACCTGAGGGGGACCCTGGGCCGAAGAGTGGGGCTGACACTGAAGTAAGGAGGCCCTGGGGTGTGCGGGGAGGGGAAGGGATCTGGAGTCTGACAGATGTCACCTCGAGGAGGTCCCTTCTCTCCTTCAGGCAGTAGTAGTAGTAGTGGTAGTAGTAGCAGCCTGCGTTTCAAAAATGCTGGAAAGTTTCCAAAGAGCTCTACAAGTATTTTTGCATTTGGATTCTCACAACAGATCTGGGAAGCAGGTTTTACAAGTGGGGAAAGTGAGGAAGACAGAGTGCCTTGCAGGGTTACACTGCTAGTCAGTTTCTGGGGCAGGATTTGAATTCCAGTCATTCTGAGGCCAGGTCCACACCTGCAGGCCCCGGAGCCCAGGTATTACAGGTGACGGGCAGGGTCCACGAATGTGTCACCTTCTGTGCATGGCAAAGCCCCTGGGGGGGTCCCACTCACCTGGGGGGCCATGGCTTTCTCTCCGCTCTTCTCCCCCTCCGGCCAGGCAGGGTCCTCTCCTGGGGAGGAGAAGGGAGCCGTGAGAGGTGCGGGGGCGGGGGGGGGGAAGGGAGGGCCATGCTCCTGGAGGATGGGCCGGCAGAAGCAAAGGCGTGGCTTCGGGGAACGAGGGCAGGGCCAGATGGACACGCCAGGATCTGGGACGGGGGCAGAGATGCTGAGGGTGCCTCTGTGGCTGATGCTGAGCCCCAGGGAGCCCTGGCCCCGTCTCCCAGGGGGGTAAACTGAGGCAGCGCCCCCTCCAGGGCCCCACGGTGCCCATTCCAGGGGAATCCCTGGCAGGAGGAGCCCATTTCACGGGTGAGGACACTGAGGATGCCAGCCTGGCCTGGGGGACGGCAGGACAAGGGAGGAGTCGAGGGGGACAGGCAGCGGTGCCCCCTCTGATTGGCTGAAGGAGCCTGGAAGTCCCCGGTAGCCTAAGGTTCCCCACCCCCACCCCCCACCCCCGGGCTGGCTGACGGCTGCGCCCCCTTGCGGAGGGGGCGGGATGAGGGGAGAAACTGCGCAGGCGCGAGGGTACAACATCCCTCCTCCCCACCAAGGTCTGAAACCGAGGCACAGACGGGAGCTCCAGGACCCCGGGGGGCCGCAGCCCGGGCCCCGAAGGGCTGGACGGTCCGGCAGGCCACTCTCCTCCGGACCCCTGGGCCACCTGGCGCTGTCTCACCTCCGGGGCGCAGGATCCTACCGCCGGCAGCAGCGAGAGCCTGCCGAAGCAGGAAGTAACTTAGGGGAGCGGAGGTGACGTCACGGGCAGGCCTCTTCGTAACTGCGCTTCCTGGGAAATGTAGTTCGGAGACCAGCGGGAGGTGATGCGCATGCGTCCTGAGCCTGGGCTGCCTGGGCAGCAGGGGAGAGAAGGGAGGCCCGGGGTCGCCTAGAGGCTGGGCCGGCGGTTCCCACCGGTCTTTCCTGCCTCATTGGGCCCTCCTCCTAGCATCCAGCTGGCCAATGGTTGGAGGCCTGGGCCTGGGCTCAGGAGGTTCTGAGTTCAAATTCAGCCCTGGCACCTCCTTATCTGGGCAGCAGGGATTTTCCCATCAATTCGATTAGCCGATGCCAGTAGGGCAGAGAGGCTTTACTGCACCCGCTGTGGCTTATCCCACCGGCAGCGATTCACGATTCAGCTACATGTCTACACCACATGAAGCAAAGAAAAACAAGGGGGCAACTTACCACAAGGCAGCTGGCCATGCCAAGAAAAACTAGTGTTCTCTTTTCAAAAATGGCATTTTATTGTTTTCCCATTATTCGTAAAGGCAGTTTTTACGTTCATTTTTACAAAAGTTGGAGTTCCAAATTTTCCTCCTTCCCCTCCCCTCTTCCTAAAATGATAAGCAATTTGATAACAATGCAATCACGTGAACCATATTTCCATATTAGTTATAGTTGTGAAAGAAGAAACAGACCAGAAGGGAAATACACACACACAAAGTGAAACACACACACATCAGCCTTCAGAGCCCATCAGTTCTTTCTCTGGATGTGAATAGCGTTTTCCACCATGAGTCCTTTATAATTATCTGGGATCACTGTATTGCTGATAAGAGCAAAGTCTATCAAAGCCGGTCATTGCACAAGGTGGCTGTTACTGTGTACCACGTTCTCCTGGTTCTGCTCACCTCACTCAGCATCAGTCCATACAAGTCTTTCCAGGTTTTTCCGAAGTCTGCCTGCTCATCATTTCTCATAGCACAATAGTATCCCATTACATTCATACACCACAGCTTGTTCAAGTGTTCCCTCAATTCCAATTCTTTGCCACCACAAAAAGAGCTGCTACAAATATGAAAAAAAAAATTCTTATTAAAGAAAGAGGAGAGATAACTAACTTCCTGTCCAGGCAGGTAGCAGAAGGAGCCATTCCCTAGACTTTAAAACCCTCTTTTTAATTTTTTTTTTAAGCAATAGAGGCTTTTGTACCAATTAGAGGAAGAAAAGAAGATCCTGGCAGCAATCAGCTGCTGCACCTGTTCTCAAAGCCAATGCAAGTGTCATAATGTTGCATAATGGACCACACAGAACAAGATGGAGTCACTTCTGTTCTCCCAGAAATTCACTTTCAACAGCTGTTTCCTCATGTGTAACATGGGGTAATAATAGCACCTCCCCCTCAGGCCTGTTATGAAGACACACTGCAAAAAATATTTATAAGGCTTGTCGGGCACTAAGTAAATGCTAGCTATTCTGTGAGTGTAAACTGTTCTTTCCTTTCTGAGGTCTGTCATTGTCCAATCAAATGGATGGCTGCACTTGAGTGGTGCGCACTGGGTGTAGGACGGGCAGAGGCAAAGAGCTTCATCCAAAGGCCCAGGGAACTGCACCCTTCTAGTGCTGTTGGCCAAACTCCTGTCACATCCTACCCACCTCCAAGCAAAAAAAACTCTTGTTTCAGCCATGCATCCACATAACATCCCACTCTCCAGAGAAGCTTGTTGCCTGGGTGACTTGAAACTGTCACCGACAGCCTGATTTATTTCCTTCTCATCTGCCCTCTACCCCAAAAGTAAAAAGTAATAGATCCTCAAGCCCAAGAAGGCCAGACTTCTTATATTTCCATAGGTGGTCCCCTAAGGCCTAGTATCTTATCCTTCCTCAATTCCATTTCACAGAGTCCTTTCCTTTCTTCAACCTTTCATTCAATCCTTTCCTTTCTTTACAACTCGGACACCACTTCCTCTATGGGAAATTTCCTGAGCTTCCCAAATTTCAGCACCCTTTCTCCCTTGTAATTAATTTATTATTTTGTATTTACTTACCTGTATGCATATTGTGTGTCCCCCCCCACAAGGAGAATAGAAGCTTCTTGAGGGTAGGAACTGATGGATTTATTACCTAACATAGCTCTGGGAACACCGGAGACCTTAAGAAACATTTGTTGAATTGAGTTGAAATGACACTTTAATCCACACAGCTGTTCATATGTTAATGAACCCACTACATGGTCAAAGACCATGACTTTCATTGTGTTCTAAAACCTGATACAATTGATACAGCACAAATTGGAGCAGTGGAAGAATTTTACCATCAGCAAATCCATCAACAAGCATTTATTAAGCACCTACTATATCCCAGGTGCTGTTCTAAGTGCTTGAGATGCAAAGGAAAAAAAAAAAACACCTTCTATCCTCAATGTCAATATCCTTTCTGTCACTGGAGACAAGTACGTATATATGCGTGTACGTATGTACGTACATATATGTGAAATGATTATTTCTCTCATATTAATAGCCAATTATTTAAAGTGGGGAGACTCCAGCTTTTTTTCCCTGTCTTATTTCCTTGTCCAATCTCTCAAGGACAGGGCTGATGGAAGGTAGGATTAACATTCTCCTCCTGGGCACTGCTCCTCCACCCAACCAGCTTAGGCTCGGGTGGGGGATATAGATTCTCTGTCTAGATTGCCCAAGGCCCGGGGTGGTCTGTGTATAGGGATAGTCTCTCTGGCCAAGAGTGAGGTGAAGTTTGTCTCAGCCCCTCATTGGAGCGAGCTCACTTCTCTCTGTAAAGTCAACCTCCCATTAATTGTTAACCAATCAGAACTGATTGCTGCCCTCTGCAACACCTCTCATCCAAGGACATAGAAACCTCAGGAAGTGGCCATGCCTCCTCTTGACCACTGAGGGGATAAGGACCCCTTTTTTTGCTGGCCACGATTGATAAAACTGATTATAATTTACCCCAATTCTCGTCTCTTGAAATTATTTTATATGCTATGGGTGTATGTGTAAACTTGTGATATTGTTTTTGGTTAACTATATATGTGTGTGTTGTGTGTGTATATATATATAAAGAGAGACAGAGACAGAGACAGAGAGACAGAGAACACACATAGCAAGTGGGAAATTGAAAGTCATATCATAAATTAGAGAAGCCACAATATTTTGTTTCTACTTACATATGCATGTGTTGTCTGCTACATCGAAAGTTTCTGGAGGACCCTGGCTATTTGATTTTTGTCTTTGAATTCTCCAAATTGTGCTTAAAACCTGGTAGGTCTTGTAGACTCCTCTTCAAACCATTTTGAACCCCCAAGACCTGAAAAAGGCCTAAAACCTGGATTGGCCAATCAGGAGAGACATTCTGCCCAGTCTGGTCTTAATCTACCATAATGCTCTGGCAGAATGGACTTGCTTTGCTTTGCTCTCTGAGTAAATCCAGAATGCCCCTTCCTGTGTAACCACAAGGCCAGATGAGGCTGACCGGGAATTCTTCTGTTTATGGACACTAAGGATAAGGCCCCTTAACCCAGACATTATATTGAATAATGGGACTTTTCTTATCTTAGTATTTTATGGACATAAACTATACTATGTCATGTTAATGGTAAAAGAAGCAGACATCCTGGATCTATAATTCCAATTGACACTTTAACACTTTTCCTATCTTATTATATTTACAACCTATTCAATTAAGAAAATTCCTCGGGGCAGCTAGGTGGCACAGTGGATACAGCACAGGCCCTGAAGTCAGCAGTACAAGAGTTCAAATCCGGCCTCAGATCAAACACTTGACACTTACTAGCTGTGTGACCCCGGGCAAGTCACTTAACTCCAGTTGCCTAAAAAAAAAAAAAATCCTTTCTCATGCTATGGTTAAACACATATGGAGACCATAAATCTGAGTAACACAGACATCCTGAGTCAAGGTTTAAATGTCCTCCTAAAATTGCTTGATTCAGTCAGAGGTAAAGCTCTGGCTCCATGTACATGTCGCTAACTTAAGGGAATAAACAATATGGATTTACTCATCACCTAGCTTGTTGCCAATCTAACTAAACTTTTAGGTTGACAGTTAATAATTATTTGTTCCCAAAAATCTTCTGTTAGGAATATTCTGACATACACGTGGGACATTTCTTTCTATCTTTCATATTCTGTGCTGCTTGAACATTATTGGGACTGCTAGGTCAGACACATGAACAAGTCATTGACTTTGTTTTTGCATAATTCCACAGTATTTTCCTAGACGGTTGAACCAGTTCACAGCTCTACTAACGATGCACTAATGTCCTTGCATTTCGATGGCCTTTTGAATACCAGTTACTTAGATCCTCATGCTTTGGGAAACATCTTTTTCTAAATTCTTATTTATCATTTATTAATGTTGTTTGAATCAAGCTTTATGTGGCTAAAAATTGTCTAATGCAAAAAGCTTACTGTTGTGACATTTAAAAAGTTTGAGACACATAATTTCTGGGTAATTAGTCACTTTATTAATAATACTAGCATTTTAATAAAAGAGTTCAGTGGCACTCTCAAATTCCAAAGATCCTCATGGCAGTGGACTCAAGGCTTATACGGACTTGGAAAATGAGTGTTTCAGAAGGCAGCAATCCATTCTGATTGGTTAACAAGTAATAAGAGAGAATGAATATTACAATGAGGGGCTGAACTATTCTAATGGCCTTTGATTATGTCATTTACTTTTAAATTACCCCCAGCCTAGGACAATCTAATCAAAGAATTTACCCCCCCCCCCAAAACTGAGTAGAAAACAATGAGATTAAATTCCTTGTAAGGCTGGCTGGGTTCTGACCTAGTTTGACGAGAGTTAATTCAATCTTATTATCAGTAATGGCCTTCAAGAGACGGAACTTTGAAATGAGGACTACAGAAAAAGAGGAAACCCTGGATCTCCCCAAATCATTGGTTATTTATAATCGTTTTTCTCATTCCCCCATTTGATTCTACTGAGAGACACAGGCTTCTCAATGAATCACTAACTGATATGACAAACACTTCAGTAAGGGTTTCTGACTGTGCGGCTCATTAGGGGAAACAAGAACATGGGTCTTTTAAGAACTCATTTTTTGGGGACAGCTAGGTGGTGCAATGGAGAGAGCACTGGCCCTAGAGTCAGGAAGACCTGAGTTCAAATCTGGCCTTACTAGCTGTGTGACCCTGGGCAAGTCACTTAACCCCAATTGCCAAAAAATTAAAAAAAAAGGGAGAGAGAGAGAGACATTAGAAAAGGATACACAGATTTGGGAATCATAAGCATAGGTAATAGCCTAGCACCCAGAGCAATGGATGCCACACCATACCACACCTAGTACTCAGAAAATTTAGAGTGCTCCATCCACACCTTTGGAACAGACCCTAGGGACTACACAGGAGATGACCACTCAACAAAGGAGAATAAAAGGGAATGGGCAAATTTCCGAAAGCAATCTAGAACAGCCTAGAACAGCCCTCTACTTTTTGACCGAGAGATCCCATGGCTAGGGTATACTCCAAGGAGGTTGAAGATTAACAGAGAAATCCCCTATTCAGCAACACAAAGACAAGACTGCCTCTCACGTGTGTGGGTGGGGCCAGCGCCCCTTCCAATCTGCCAATACGTAGATGCCCCTAATATCCTCTGGCAATACAAAACATACTCCTTCCTGACTGTCCCACAGAGTCACCACTTATTACAAAAATTCAAAAGTGGGGGAAAAAAAACCAGTCCAGCAAGCCTAACCAACAGGTTAGAGGTCGCCGGGGGGCACAGCAGATAAATTGTTGGACCTGGAGTCACAAAGACCCAAGTTCAAATCTGGCCTCTAACACTTACTGTGTGACCTTGGACGAATAACTTGGTCTCCGACTCATTTTCTTCATCTCTAAAATGGGGATAATGATAGTACCCACCACCCAGGATTGTTGTGAGCATAAACTGGGATATTTGTAAAGTGCTTTGCAAAGCTTAGAGTGCTACATGTGTTCACTATTATTATCACCATCAGAAAGTCTGAATATTACAGCACCACACACCTGTTATTTTACCCAAGCAAAGCAAAGAGCAATGTGTCTCCTTATGCCTCTTTTTTGAGACCTTTGGTTACTGTTCAGTCATGGCTGCCTTTGTGACCCTGTGGACCAACTGTCCCTGGGGTTGTCTTGGCAAAAACAGCTAGGTGGCCCAGTGGACAGGGCCCTGGGCCTGGAAAGATCAGAGTTCAAATTTGACCTCAGACACTTACTAGCTGTGTGATCCCGGGCAAGTCATTTAACCCCTGCCTGCAACTGGAGAAGGAAATGGCAAATTCTCCAGTATCTCTGCCAAGAAAACCCCAAATAGGGTCATGAAGTCAGACATGACTAATGGATTTGGAATACAGGCCCTTCATAAAAACTCATTTGTTGATTGATTCCAATTGCTTAGAATCTGGTTGCTTTTTAATGTTGTTTTCATTTATACTATTGAAATTATGTATATTGTTATGGGTCTGCCGACTTCATTTACATACATTCATACATCTTCCTATGTTTCTCAGAATTTCCCATGTCCATTGCTCCTTGTAGCACATTATTTCATTGCATTTATACACCAGCATCTGTTCATTCTCAATTGGTCACCTCTGTTTGCCAATATCACTACCCCATTTTTTTTTTCAGCCAAAGACAGGGTTTATTAGAACATCCGTCATATTGGGCAGACTCTTAAGGAGTCTGAACATTTCACTACCCCATTCTAAAAAAAAAAAAGAATTGCTGTGAATGTTTTGGTATGCATGGGACTTTTATGTGTTTCACCTCCTGACATGACTTTACTTTACTAGAGGTGCAATCTCTGGGTTTGAAGTGTAAACAGTTTAGTGACTTTTTGGTCCAAAACAGCTGGACAAGGGCCACCAATAGTGCATTTGTATGTCTTCCTACAGACCTTCTAACACTTACCATCGTTTAAAAAAATCATCTTTGGTATTTGAATCGCCAGATCTTTTTCAGGAAGTTAGTTAGATAGAAAAATTATCTCCTCCAACTAGTACTTGTGAAGCTGAGTCTTAGAATCCATCTACTAATTCAATCTAGTTGTTTAATCTTACATTTAGCGTGATCTAACTTGTCAAGAACTTTTTAGATACTGTCAACCAGTGCTTTAACCATGCCACTGAGGGAATGGAGGGGATTATTATAGCAAGTGGTAGTGGGAATTGAGCGAACCACATTGACTCCATCTCGTGACTCAATTCTGTATCTAGCCCAGTTCCCCCTTTTTTTGTGTGGAGACAATTGGGGTTAAGTGACTTGCCCAGGGTCACATGGCTAGTAAGTATCTGAGACTGAATTTGAACTCAGGTCCTCCTGACTCCAGGGCCAGTGTTCTATCCACAGGGCCACCTAGCTGCCCCATCCCTTTCTATTCAATTATGGGTCTAGTCCAATTTCTGTCTTGTGAGAAAACTTTATTTAATTATGAATTGTGAGGGAAAGCTTTACTGTACTATTTGAACCTAGCCTTGTAAGACCAGAAAGCCGAACCACCTCTACCTGCTTCTTAAAGCCCTTTAACTAAGGACCAGAAAACCAGTCAGATGCTAAGATTAATGCAAGGAGTTTTCTCGCAGTTATACATCTCAAGCAACCCAGATGTCTTATATGAAAACTAGCCCCATGCTGATCAGTTACTGTTTCCAAATTCCTTTGATTTTTTCATAGATAACATGGGTGAATAGGACACTTTTTTTCTAATTTCATGGAATTGCACCTGTTCACTCTCCCCCTCCCAACCTGGAAAGGTCTTAATCTTTCCTCCAATTAAAAATCAGATTACCCAATTTTGTATCCTGGTTATTCTTTTAATTGGTCTTATTTGATCATTTTAAATGCATAAATATTTGTCTCCCCCTTTCTCAGGAAGTCTATTGGTCCCAATTTGTTGGACAATTGGCATGCATTGCTTAATAAATCGATACGCTCAGAAGCTTGAATCTTTGTTTCCTCATTCATTTCATCTTTCGCCCACCATGCCCCCCAGCTTTGTGTCTACAAATCTTATAAGCATGTCACCTATGGTTTTATACAAGGCATTAATAACACTGTTAACTTGAGGAGATAGCATCTTCCAAGCTGCTGTTGAACCAATAATGACTACTCTTTGGGTGCAGCCATTCAAACAGTTCTAATCTCACCTAGCTATTCTATAGGCTAGCCTTCATATCTTTTCCACAAAAGTAGGACATTCATTAAGTCACATGCTGTGATCAAAGGACTTTTTCTTTTACTGATGTTCTTTCCTTCCTTTAACATCACTGTCATTTTCCACTGACTTCCCTCTGCCGTTATAACAAATAAACTTGGACAAACAAAACAAATCCACACACACTGGCCATGTCTGAAAGTGTACACCTTTTTCTGTACCTCCACACTACATTTTGGCTGAAGGGTCAAGTGGCATGCTTTACCATCATTCACTGAAGAGCTAGCTATATTCATATGATTTCCCTCTAGTATTCAATATATTTGGCTATGTATTTCTCCTGGAGAAAAGTCTTACTTTTCTCCGGTAGAATTGTCTGATGTTCAGTAAGTTTTATTCTCTGACAGAAAGGCTTTCCACATTCATTGCACTCACAAGCTTTCTTCCCTCCAGTTGGAGTGTACTCCGTGCTCCAGAAGGAGTTTCTACATTTATTACACTAATAAGGTTTCTCTCCAGTATGAATGCTATAATGTCGAATGAGCGTTGTGCTCCGAGAGTATGCCTTCCCACATTCATTACATTTATAGGGTTTTTCTCCACTATGAACTCTATAATGTTGATTAAGTTCTGCCCTTACACAGAAAGCCTTCTTGCATTCACTGCATTTATAAGGTTTCTCTCCAGTATGAATTTTCTGATGTTGAGTAAGTGCTGTGCTCCAGGTAAAAGCTTTCCCACATTCATAACATTCATAGGGTTTCTCTCCAGTATGGATCCTTTGGTGTTTAGTAAGTGCTGTCTTCCAGGCAAAGGCCTTCCCGCATTCATTACATTCATAAGGTTTCTCTCCAGTATGAACTTTATGATGCTGAATAAGATGTGAGTTATGGTGAAAAGCCTTCCCACATTCATTGCATTTATAGGGTCTCTCTCCAGTATGAATTTTATGATGTTGGGTAAGAGCTGCTCTCTGACAGAAGGCCTTCCCACATTCAAAGCATTCATAAGGTTTCTCTCCAGTATGAATTTTATGATGTCGAATAAGTTCTGCCCTCTGATAGAAGGCCTTTCCACGTTCATTACATTTATAAGGTTTCTCTCCAGTATGAATTTTCTGATGTCGAGTAAGTGTTGTGCTCTGGAGAAAGACCTTCTCACAGTCACTGCATTTATAAGGTTTTTCTCCAATATGAATTCTGTGATGTTGAGTAAGACCTGTCTTATCACAAAAGGCCTCCCCACATTCGTTGCATTCATAACATTTCTCTCCAGTATGAGTTCTGTGGTGCCTAATAAGGTCAGTACTCCAGAGGAAAGCCTTCCCACATTTGATGCATACAAAAGGTTTCTCTCCAGTATGAATTCTCTGATGTTTAGCTAGCCGTGTTCTACATTGGAAGGTTTTCCCACATTCATTACATTCATAAGGTTTCTCTCCAGTATGAATTTTCTGATGTTTCCTAAGATAGGAGTTCTGGCAAAAGGCCTTCCCACATTCACTGCATTTATAAGGTTTTATTCCAGTATGAGTTCTCTGGTGCCTAGTAAAGTTACTACTCCAGAGAAAGGACTTCCCACATTCATTACATACATAAGGTTTCTCTCCAGTATGAACTCTCTTATGTTCAGTAAGCTGTGTTCTCCAGTGGAAAGCCTTCCCACATTCATCGCATTCGTAAGGTTTTCTTCCAGTATGAATTTTCTGATGTTTCCTAAGATATGAATTTTGTTGAAAGGTCTTTCCACATTCAGTGCATTCATAAAGCTGTTCTCCTCTGTGAATTCTCTGATGTAGAGTAAGTTCAGTATTCTGGAGGAAAGAATTCCCACATTCATTACATTCATAAAGTTTCTTTCCAGTATGTAATCTATGTTTGTCCATATGACCAAAATTATAGCCAAAGGATTTCTGACATTTATCATCATTAGAAAATTCCTTCTTTAAACAGATCTTATTATATTGTTTTATGTCTGAATACATTTTGAAGCTCTTTCTCTGTGTATCACATTTATGAAGAAGACTCTTTCCTACAAATAATCTTTTTTTTGGAAAAGCAACAGGCTCTAGATTAGATCTTTGGCTATATTTATTATGTTGGTGGCCTCTTACTTCACTGGGTGGTTTCCCTTTGGTGATTTTTATTTGTCTAACGTATCGTTCCTCATCACTTCGCTCCTCCTTTGACCTGATATAACATTCAGAGGCTCCTCCTATCTTCCAGATCCAAGAAGCACCCTCTGAGAGTCTTTTCTGAGATGGTTCCTCCATGGAAATACATGGTTGTGGAGCTGACTCTTGAGATTTAATCCTAGTGTCGCAAGCTGAAAGAAACAAAAGATGTAAATTATTCCACAACCCTGGATGAACCTCCTGTCTTTCATGTGACAAAGTTTCTCAGCATTCTTGCTGTTGCTAGCTCATGTGGAGCCACAACATGCACACTGTTTTCACTCTAATCTACTCTACGTCAGTTCTTATTTGTTTTTCCATGTTTCTCGTATTCTTCATATTTATCATCTCATATGGCAAAATGTTATATTCCATTTATCTCCCAGACGTTGTTCCAAAAAGGCTCACTTGATGGATACGCGGACTGTCTGTGCTCCCCTCATAAGAGTAATTCATAGGACCACAGATTTAGAGCTGGAAGGGACTTTGGAGGCCATCAAATCCAACACTCTGATTCTGAAAGTGAGGATACTGAGGCAAAGAGAAGGTGAACAACTTGCCCAGGTTAGTCATTTAGCATCGGATGTGAGATCTGAAGCCAAGTCTTCATGACTCCAAGTCCAGTATCCTATCCACTATGTCATACTGTTTCCCCATTCTGCTAGGAATTTTTTGTGCAGGATATTCAGGTGAGTATCATACTTGGGGTACATTCCTATAGTGTGACTATTGAATGAAATGATGTGAGAGTTGTAAAGCTCCTATACTGTATAATTCCACACAGCTTTTCCAAAAGATTGAACCAATTATTAGCTCTACCAACAATGCAATGGCATTCTTACTTGCCAACAGCATTGAATTATGGCTACTTTAAGTATCTATACCAAATTAATAAGCACATAATAGCTCTGCGTTGTTTTAATTTGCATTTCCGCAATTATTAAAGAATTTGAACAATTTTTCATGGTTGTTTTTAACTTTTATTTTTCTATTTCTTTCAAGGACTGCCTGCTTATATATTTTAACCACTTATCTGTTGGTAAATAGAGCTTATTTTAATAAATTTGTGTCAATTCCTCATAGATTATATACAGGGAGTCTTGGAAATTTATTCAGAAGGGCTTTATTATTCTTTTTTATTCAGTATTCTATTGAGAAGAGCATTATTACTTTACTTTGAAAAGTAAAGAGTATAATGAATACAACATTGTAAAGAAAAACTTACACATGGATCAAGGCAAAGACCAAACATTGCTCCAGAGGACAGGTTATGAAACATGCTACATAGCTCCCAGATGAAAGGTTCTCCATGGGGTCAGACGCAGAATGAGACATTTTCAGACATGGCAAACGTGTGGCTTTGTTTCATTTGATTCTATTTGTTGAAAGAGAGGGTTGTTGTTGTTGTTTAATGGAGGGAGTCGAGGTTAATACTGATACAAAAAAAAAAAAGAAAGTCACTGGAGCATTTTTTTAAATGCCCAGAAAAAGACCAAAGGTAATTCAGGGGGAGACAAATACAAGGGAGAGAGCGAGCCCTAAAACTAGCAAGTTGAATTTATTATCTACATAATTTCAAAAAACCAATTCTTAGGCAACAGATTTCACATAAAATCCTATTTTTCTTTTCTTCTATGGATATGGAAATGTCGGTGTTAAGTTCTGAATAACAAAGAATTATATATACATATAGATTTTCTTATAGATTTTACAAGTAAATCAGTTAATAAGTATTTGTTAAGCATCTGCAATGCCCTGAGAATACAAATACAATGAATGAAAAAAATTCTTATTTGCAAGATTACATTCCAGTGAGGGAGTCTAGTCCATATGTAAATATATACAGAAAAAAATATGAGAAGAAATACAATTAAATACAAAGTAGTCATATACAATGTAGTTTGGGAGTGAGGATTCTAGCAGTTCAGGGGACTAGGAAAGGCTTTATGTAGACAGCAGTCTTGGAGCTGCGCTGAAAGAAGAAAGGGATTCTATGAGGTGCAGGGGAGAAGGGAGTGCATTCCAGGGATGGGGATGGCCAGCACAAAAACAAAGACTTGCAAAATGGCATGTCCTGCATGAGGAACAGAAAGTCACTCCGGCCAGGTGGCAGAGTTTGGTAAAGACACGAAGGCATAGTAAGACTGGAAAGATAGTTGGAGGCAAGACGGTGAGGAATTGTGAAAGCTAAATGGAGTTTACATTTTAACCTAGAGCAAGAGTTCCTTTTCTTTCTTTTTTTCTTTTTTCTTTTATCTTTTTTTTTTTTTTTTTTGGTGATATGGGCCCCTTTGGCACTCTAGTGAAGTTTATGGACTCTTTAGAATGTTTTTAAAGGCATAAAATAAAAATATATATGATAAATAAAATATAATACAGAGAAAACCAATTATATTGAAATGCATTTATTTAAAACATGTAAAATAAACAAAGACATGGACACCAGGCTAAGAACCCCTGTCCAAAAGGAAGCAGGGAGCGATTGGAAACATTGGAGCCATTACTGAGTAAGGCAGTGCCATGGTCAGATCTGCACTTATACCTGATACCTTATCTGCGGAGGAGAGACTAGAGTAAGGAGAGACTTGCAAAAGGGAGGCCAATTAAGGAGCCATTTCAGTAGTCCAGGTGAGAAGTAGCAGGACCTGAAATAAGCTGGTGGCCGTGAGAGTAGAAAGAAGGGCTCAGAGACGAGATGACGCAGAGATAGAAATGGCGAGATTTTGACAACTGACTGGTTGTGTGAGCTAAGAAAGCACTCCCCCTCCCCTCCCCTCCCCTCTCTCAGCTGAGAACCATGCCTCACATTTTACAGAACAAATTAAGCCATTTGCCATGAACTCTTTCTTCTCCCCACCTCCTCATCTCCCATCACTCAGACACCTGCCACCTTCTCCTTCTCCTTCACTCACAGGAAGTGGCCTTACTCCTTACCAAGGCTAAAACCTGTTCAAGTGACCCCAATTCCATCCCATCTCCTTCAACAGATTGCTCCTTCTCTGCCACCCCCACTCTCTCACTTATTTCCAACCTCTCTTCCTATTGATCATTTTGTACTGCCTACAAACATGTCCATGTTTCCCCTACCCTGAAAAAACTCTCACTTGAGCCTTTCATCCCTGCCAACTATCATCCTATGTCTCTTCTATTCTTAGTAGCTAAACTCTTCAAAAACAAGCAAACAAAAAAAGCAGACTGTCTGTAATTGGTGCTTCCACTTTTCCTCCTCTCATTTTCTTCTTAAGCCCTACACTCTGGCTTCTGACCTTATTCTCCTAAACCTGCTCCCTCCAAAGCTACTGATGATCTCTTAGATGCCAAATCCAATGGCCTTCTCTCAATCCTCAATCTCCTTGACTTCCACAGCCTGTGACACATCTCTTCCCAGAGTCTCTTCTCTCTAAGTTTTTGAGACCCCCCCTCTTGCCTGGTTTTCCTCCTACCTGACCACTGCTTCTTGGTCTCCTTTGCTGGATCGTCCTCTAGATCACACCTTCTAACTACAAGTGTCCCTCAGGGCTCTGTCCGGGTCCCCTCTTCCCCTTCTACCCTTGGATTTAATTGCCATCTTTATGCTGATGATTCTCAAATCTGCCTTTCCTGTCCCAACCTCTCTGCTGACCTACAATCACAGCTCCAACTGCCTTTCAGATACCTCAAACTGGATGTTCAGTACAATCTTAAACTCAATACGACCAAAACAGAACTCATTATTGTTCCCCATAAATCTTCCCCACCTTTTACCTTCCCTATTACCACTGAAGGTAACACCATCCTTCCACTCTTTCAAGCTCACATCCTAGGAGTCATCCTGAATTCCTGTCTCTGCCTCACCCCCACCCCTGCCTCATATCCAATATGGTGCCAACACCTGTCAATTTCACCTCTGCAGCAACTTCCAAATATGCCCCCTTCTCTCCTTGGATGCTGTCCCCACCCTGGTGCAGACCCTCATCACCTCACACTTTGACTACTGCAATAGCTGCTGGTAGATCTACCTGTCTCAAGTCTCTGTTCACTCCAGTTCATCCTCCATTTGGCCACTAAAGTGATTTTCCTAAAACACAAATCTAATCATGTCACTTCTCTACTGGATAAACTCCAGTAGCTCTCAAGAGCAAATACAAGATGCTCACTTTGGAATTCAAAGCCCTTCATAATCTGGCTCCCTCCTACCTTCCCAGTCTTCTTACATCTTATTCCACACCATGTGTTGTTTGTCCTTCATTTTCGAAGAGACCAGTGACATTACAGGGTGATATCCTGACTCATTTGTGAACTGGATTTAAGTGAGGCAGAGTTGCACAAAGTCATTAGCCTCACTCTCTCTTCCAGAGTTATTGAAGTCCAGTGGCAGGATAAAAGTCAAGATGACTGGTGATGGCCCAGGATGTAGTGGATGACCTTATGATCTTCCATGTCTGACCAAGCTCGAAGCACTCCTGCATTAGTTGTCCTCGTGATCGTTGTAACAAACCATTCTCATCCACCCACTGAACTCACCGATGGGTTTGAGGACTGGTGGTTACCTTCAACCTGGTTTTAGTCCATCTGACAAGATGGTTTTC